TCTCCTCCACTTGCAAACGAAGTGATTTGTGGAAGGCTGAAGGATACGGAAAAGCTTTCAGAGTGCCACAAAGCATTTGCCAAATTGCCAAAACAATCAAGTGGGTTCTTTTAAAAAAATAGAAGTTGATGGAATGGTAAAAATTTTCCACAGATCCCAAACTGAAAGAGGTGCCAAACACATAAATTAATTGGTTACAGAGACTCAAAAACATTACCTGTTATTCATGATAGAGAACAATATGGTAATGAAATTATTTCAAAACTTGAATGTGCTCGTCAGGTGCAAAGCAAAATGGGAAGTCAACTGAAAAAGCTAAAACAAGACTACAGATCATAGAAACTGGAGGACAGTAAACCTTTTTATCAGGCAAAGGACAACTAACTGACACTGTGATAAATAAGAGCTGACTTAGTACTATGGTAATGCAATTCGTGCAAATGCTTTATCAGTTAACAAAATGTATAAAAGTATTTAGGAGGTTTATTTTCATACTAGATCATCTGATGCTGAGTCTTCACATACATTTTGTCCTTCTGGTGCAAAATTATGGTGCAAATATCAGCAGGAAGTTTCAAATGACTCAAGGCAATTTTTACTTCAATCATAGATGTCATAAAACCAGTTTTTTAAGTTTTATCAAGTCAAACATTTTAAAATGATGCCTTGGTAGCACCAAGAACCTAAATGTATCTTTTAATTCCTTCGTATGGCACATATGTTCATGGACATCTGGATCTGGGAAACAAACTGCAAAAATTGTTCTACGTGAAGCAGCAATTTTATTCAACATGGGCAACAATTAGGTATCCATCCAGGAATAAATGCAATAAAAATTCCTTTTATAGTGATAAAAACATGTAAATACTGCTAAGAGAAAAATGAAAAAAAAAAAAAAAACGTAGAAGCCACAAAAAGCAAGCAAAATAACAATAATTCTTCACTTGAATGCTCATCAAAACACACACTTGATGTAATCTGTTTATATTTGCATGATAACAGCATGTAGCTCCAAACTGTAATGAAAAATCCATACTTTTGTTGCCACTACAGCTAAATTATTTTACATTTCAAGTACAAGGATTTTTTTACCAAAACATCTTTATATACCTATCAAACATTTATATTAATCAATTATGAAAACTGAAAAGATTTAGACTAAAAAAAATACTCATGATTATGCATAAATGCAACACATGCAGAATACTTGCAAATCACATAGAAACACACAACTGATCATGTGCATTTTGAAAACTAAATACATTTTGCTATTCAATTAATTCAACTTTAACTACAAAATGAACATCAGAGCATATATACAGATTATGTTACCCGCTAGGGATTTTTCAATTAACCTCATGAATACAAGCACAAAATACAGGCTTAGCTGATTTTCATAATGCTGTGCGACAGATGTGCCATGTGCTATGCTGCAGTGCTCAACACAGAACACAGTTCACCCACTGCACAACAGTATGATCACTAACTGCTTGGCATCCCATGATGGTGAGCATGCCATTCTCCAATAGTCATGCAAGATATTAAAAATTTTACATTCAAAATATAACCACGAAATGTACATTAAAAAACCATCATCCATATCAGATGATTAATGCCCAAATCCACAGTACATGAAGAGTGTCATGTTATAATTTATTTTGTACCAAAAAAAAAGTTCTAAGTCTAGAAAATACTGCTTTTCATACACTTAGGGAACCATATCCACCATACATAAAGAGTACTAAAAATGAAAAGATGTACGCATAATAAAACACCTTAATAATTCAACAATAAAAGAGAAAAAGATATTCAGCATATTACAAGGAAACGTGTGACATGATACCACTTCTTGTGACTGGTAAAGGAATGAATGCAATGCTTAATTATGGGAAATCTTACTGTGCTATATTTTCAAAAAGGGTGAAAAATACATTCAGTACTTTCCGATTATCTGCAACCCCTCTAAAAAACTTGCCAAATAGTGAGACTAATTTTTTGCCAAGCTGATGCAAAAGATAATAGCCATTCCGAAGAGCAGAAGAATTGTATTAAACATCAGCCAATAAACAAAATTAAAAAATGCAAGAAATATGCATAATAAAAGAACTTACCTCTTTTTCGGGAGAAGCTCTGTTCTCCCCATGCACACAACATGTTTTATCCTCAAAACACACCACAGAAATGCACAATCTTAAACACAATTTCACATTGCATCGTACAGAACTTCACATTGCATAAATGGTCATTTTTCCCATGTACACAATGCTCTTTTCACTTTAAAAAAATTCCAACGACTGCACAAATTCAGCACTTTACACGAATTTTAATCCACAGAATTTGACAGTTTAAGAAGTACAACTTCACTTAATGTGAATTTTTTCATTCTCTGTTTTGAACAAAACTGATTTCAAACATTTTTCAGGAGCCAGTACACTCAACTACAAGTCTTTATAAGAAAAACATTGCTCTCAAATGCATCAAAAACCATCACTAACCATAAAACTGACCATCAAATCTGAAGGTAGGAATCAGTTCTAGGCTGCTGTGCACTTATGCATACACTTGGATGCCACATAAATACATATTGGTAACATCATGAGTTGCCTATTTTGGCATCATAGGCTTATGTATACACCTTCAGGAAGGTGCAGACAATTAGAAAAAATAAATCTTCTAAAATTTTTCACCGTATTTCTTCTAAAAAAAATGTAAAAAAGACTTTTTATAACCAACAAAAATTGCAAGATGTTCTGAGCTATAGATTTTTCAGTGCTGGCATTTTAAAATTCAAAAAGTATAATGACCAGAAAAATGGCCAAAAATTGTTAAATTAATTGCAAATTCAGAAAAAAAATTTCTGTAAAAGCCTTTCTTTCTATTTAAGGACAAAAATGAACAATCAAATGATTCAGCAAAGATATGCATGCACATATAAATGCTTATATGTGTGTATATATTAAAAAAACTTCAATACTACATAAAAAAAATTCTAAATTGAATTTTGAAAAGATTGCTCAGAGATGCACACGGAATCCCCCTGAGGATTCCATAGTTCTAGTTCTCCCCAGCTCTATGCAACCAAAATAGACAAACAAATACACTTTTTTTATTACTATATACAATAAAAAGTTCAAAATCCAGATGTCCAATATCTGGACCACCAGCAATTTTTTTTTTTTTTTTTTTTTTTTTTCAAACGGCAGAAAGTTTCAGATTCCAAAAATAGCATCTTGCCTTAGGTATATACTTAATGCTTCATGCAGCATGCACAGTACATATGTTTTCATAATAAAGTATGTGAAAGCTCCTGATTCTTAATTTCAGATCGGCACTAAAGAAAATCTCTACACATTGAAAAAGAAGCACGCTCATTTATCAGCTTAAATCTATATAACCAATAATTTGTTACTTCTGCAGCCACCTCTTTGTTTGACATACATCTGAAATTGACACATTCTACCATAGGTCAATGCTGATTATACAACTAGGGAATAACTTACACCTCCGAAAAAAAACTTGCAATAATTTTTTTATTATTTTCCGCTTTCAATCACCTCATGAATATCAATTCATGGCAGCTTAAGAAATGACTTAAGGAGTGATGTCTAAAATATTTTTTTAATATTATTAATTGAATACAAATAAATAGCATGGTAATCTTTTACACTGATTACAAACTTCAGCTAATTGTGCTGTTAAGCAACGAATGTGCTCATGAGGAGAACTTTAACAGAAATTGCTTTACATATATATAACAGATTTTGTAAGTAATATTCTTAGATCAAAATATTACACATTTAATACTGTTTGATTTAATAATAACTGATTGTTTATTCAGATAAGCCTCAAGTATATATGGCAATTTATTGATTGAGTACTTTAGGATATGTGGACAAAGGATATGTCTTAAGGATATGTGGATAAAACAAAAGAAATTATAATAGTTAACTAAACTAATATAATTAAGGCTTAACTTCCACAGTGCATGATTAAAAACAAGACAAAATTTAATGGAACAAGATTTCTTTAGTTGCCAATCTCATGATATATTAGTAATCATATGTAGCACATGCTATCTAAAAATTGAGCTATGCTAAAATAAAACATTGCTTGAAATATATTGTATGGTTCTGAACACATAAAATATCACTACTGGTAGTCTGGAAAATGACAAAGAGTTTGTTGAGAGCAAAATGTTTCAACTGGTAGTTTAGTATGAATACTCAACTTAGCAGTTACAGGTCCTGAGCAATGGAATTTAGTAATTGAATGAGAAATTATGTGAAGTAATTTGAATGACTGACATTGAAGGAGATATTTAATAAAGCAAACAAATCAATATTAAGCTTTTTGTTAAATTTTGGTTCCCTTAAGATCACAAATGCTTCATAGTTTCATACACATTTATTTCATATTTTTATTATTTCCAGATGTCATTTTATTGGATTTAAACTGACCATCTAAAAACTGGAAAATTTCAAAATCCAGGATAGCTGAAGTCTTGATGAGTCCGGATCTTGGAATTTGTACTTTATTAACAAAGTTATAAATTATAGCATTACAATCTGATATTTAAATAAAGCAACCTATTTACAATACAGCACTTCTTGAACTGTGAAATATTCAAAGTATACAGCTGTAATCCTTCCCATTTGAAAGTTTTGATACAAAAGCCAAACATGCCAATGGATTACAAAAACAAAGACCTATAAAAATTTCAAATTAAGGCAAAGTATTAGTAAAGGCTACTCCTCAAGCCCATTTTCAGTCCATGTTCCAAACTAAAACATACAGTGCAATATTAATTTTCAAATATTTCAATACAAGATCCTCTTAATAACCTTGTAAATTTACCCACTTTTCTTTTTTAGGCATTCCAAAAATAAATTCATTAAATAAGTAAAGAAATAAATAAATACAAAGCTCTAAACCATCTTTTAAACATAATCAAATTTATCAGTGTAGAGATTATAAAAAATTTAATCAGAGCATTAACTTACGTAAATATCAGAAGCAAGATAATCTTCAAAACATGATGTTTGTCTTAGCACCCACTGCAGTTCAATTTTCTGAGCATCATGAGATTCACAATTTACTAGATTGACAAAGATTATAAAATAAAAATATCAGAAAATACTTAATGGAATCAAGAAAAACTGATATATAAGTAGGTGTATGCGTTTTTTTCATTCTAAGAATAATGAACCAGTAAACATAACTGTCTATTTTAATGGCAATGGAAGATATTTATAGTTCTAGTGACAGTTACAAATACGCTCTTATAAATTTCATGTTGCATTTTAAGTATATTCCAGTTAATATGCAACCATCTATTTAAAAAATTAATTCACTTCCCTAGTGTTTATACAGAGTGATTCTAAATTGTTTTTACAAATTAAGAGGGGTGATAGTACTCATTCAGATGAGCAATAATTACCATAGAACGTAGGGACACATTCCACTCTGAGAGGCAGAAAAGAATATTAGAACTTCAACCTGAACTTAAAACAGTGTTGGGAAGGCAAATGAATGAGACCAAAAGGTGCACAAACAGTTTAGTGAAAAACTCAGAGAGTGCATAAAATGAATAAAACCAAAAACATGGCTTTCGAGTGTTAATTTGAGCTCAGACATTGATGGCAAACATTCAAATGTACATCTTAGGTTGGCAAGGCCTCAACTTCGCAAACAATTGCAACAAATTAATTATCCAATCAAGAGCTGAATATTATCAACTAACCAACTTCCGATGTATGCCGAGATTAGCATGAAAAGTTCATGCTGTGTTCCGGCTGTTAGAAGTTCGTGTCCCATAGAAGGGCACTTCAAGTAGAATGAGCACAGCACAGTAAGTTCAGGAGGACAGGATAGAAGTTGGCAAAGGGAAAAAACTGATAGCATGATATCAATGTTGCAGATTTCCCCCCTAATAATTTAGATAATTAACTTATTGCAATCATTTGTGAGGTTGAGACCTTGCCAACCAAAGATGTTATTTGAGTATTTGTCATCAAAGTCTGAACTTGAATTAACACTCGAAAGCCAAGTTTTCAGGTTTATCCATTTTGTGCACTCTCTGTGAATTTTTCACTAAATTAATTGTGCAACTTTTTGTCTCATTCATTCACTCTCCAAACACTATTGTAAGTTCAGGTTGAAATTCTAATATTCCTCTTTTCTGCCTCTCAGAGTGGAATGTGACCACTCTGAGAGGCAGAAAAGAGGTTCTGCGGTTATGTTATAGCCCCCGTTATAGCTCATCTGGATGAGTACTATCACCCCTCTTAATTTGTAAAAACAATTTAGAATCACCCAGTATATATCTGTGTGTTAATAGCTTTAACAAAATTACAGACCATATCTTCTCATGTGTATCAACAAATTTTCAAAAGGAATATCTAAACCCAACAAAAAATGCAATTAACTAATTTTTGATAAGGAAATGCAGATTCAATATAGATTCAATATATTTTTTGTCAAAATTGAGGACACTAATAGACCATTAAAAGTATTTGCATAATTAAAAAGTACAAACTATGATAATTATAACTTTTAGTAAAGATATACATAATTTAAATTTTTGCCCATATTGTCTGCAACAGAAGTTCTAATTAGTTAACAGTGTTTAACTAAAGATAATTTTAAAGAATTTTCTACATTGTGTAAACATGATGCTGAAAACATGGTCAAAATTATATGATAAATTACTTTTGCCTGCAGTGGAAGCTATAATTCTGTGATGGCCTAAAACTGAATTAATTCACATAAAAAATACTTTAATTTTAGCATTATGAACTGGAATGTAAAATCCCTACTTATATTCATGCTTTCTTGACATAAAATGTATCTTTTTGAAATATACATTCAAAACTTAAACATATCTGCACTAATATTTATACATGGTTCCCACATGACAAAAAATAATAATAAGTAATGAATCTTAGATAATTTTGATCCAATGAGGAGTATTTTAATTTACATTTTTGACTAATTTAGCTAACAGACATACTTTTTCAATAACACTTTTGTCCTTACAAACCCTGTATAGAAATTAATGACTGGAAATTTTACTAAAAGTCACCATGGGGCCAAGTTTTCAGTCTGAAAGCCTAGCTTATTTTATTCATTATTAAACTGGAATAATGGCTCTATGCCGACACACACTTCTCTACCCCTAAAAAAGATATTTGTGCTACCTTTCCCAAATACTCTGTATAAAGAATTATTTGATATTATAAAATATGAGATTATAATATCAAATATCTTTTTCCCTAAATAAAATTTAAAAAAATTCCTTTTGATTTCAAAAGATTGTCATTGTCATCCTCCCCGAAAAAAGTAAATTTTCTTATTAATTATACAACTTTAAATTAAAAAAAATATATTAGTTGGATGCCTTTAACCTTCTTTGTTACAATCAATCAAATCAAAGGCACATTTAGGTCACATATCTGGAGAAGCCAGTTCATACTTCCCATTGCAACAAGGAGAAAATAAAAAAACTTGAAGACAAGTAATTCTTCACCAGTTCACAGATTGAATTATAATCATATAATTTTATTCACTAAACTACTTGTGATTTTTATGATTTTTCAAAAGAGTCAAAAATGCAAGCAAGAGAGGTATATGAAAAAAAAAAACTTACATGATATCAATATACTAGAATTAGCATACAAAGGTTTATGTACGCCAAATATTGCAAAAGGTGTCTAAAAGAAAGAAAAAAAATTTAAATGTTATTTTTTATATATGTATATTAATACAAATCCACATTTTTTTATTAATGATACACAAACTGGAAATTTCTGAACACATTAACATATAATATACAAGAGAGATGACTTCCTTATGACTCATATGATAATTTTAACAACCAGCTAGAGACAAAACATATCATTTCAAGAGTACCTATGAAAATGTTTACAATACAATTTCTTATGCCTGATTACTTGCTTTCAAAGAATTCCATTACAATTCTGACAGTCAGCATGTTTGATGCTGCTGATATGAGTATAGCCTTGAATTACTTCATCTTCAATGTTAATATAGATAAAATTTTACTTAAATATCTGTGATTTTTTTATTTTATTTTTGCAGATGGATTTTAAATATATTTTGTTACAATGAATTTTTTATTTTAATGGAATTTTATATTTATTTACTATGTATTTTGTCTAGCTTTTAAATGGTAACCATTTTTGAGTAATCAAGTGTTTTATTATATTAGTAACCTTACGTAAGCAGATGTTAGAATAGCGAAAACTCATTTAGGCAGTGCCATGATGAGTCCATGATGAAGTTGCTTCAGGCTTCAAGACAAGTATCTGTCATAAAACTTTCAATTTCTCACCAACTTTGGAACTTATGAACACAGCAACATTTTAGAAGTTTCCATATAACACATTTCATCTTCTTGATTCAATGATACATTTTTCTAAAATGCTCTAGCAGTTCTCTTTTTGCCCCTCGTTAGCAATGGTGTAAACAGAAGATCATGAGAAATAAGTCAGCTGAAAGATTAAATTACTTGCCGACTTATCGGGTTTTCTATCAGCTGCAAGTTGTTTATCAATTTATGGCATTTACAGCTTTGAAGTTACAGGGTTTCAACTATGGTGATACAACATTTCATACCTGCTAAAGTTAAAAAGTAAAAAAATCACAAAATTGTTAGAAAAAATTCAGAACACAAAATGAAAATTTTAATCACATTTATATTAACATATTCATTACATATAATTTTCCTTTTGTATTATGTTTTGCAATCGCCAATTCATGTCGGGTTTCCAGGTTGCTTTGACAAACTTTTGCCAAAAAAGCACTAAACATGGAAGATACATATTTTAAAACAGAAAGTGAAAAAATACATGTTGAGATTTTAGATTAATTTTATTGCAGTATCAACACTTTAATGATATCACAGTAATTTTAATATATTTTTGATAAATTGTGAAGAAATTCATAAATTACCAACTGAAATGCTGCCAAGCTAGCAAACCTAGCAACACACAGCATCAGATTATGGAAGTGGTGAAATGCTTCGATATTTCTTCCCTTTCCCAGGCAAAACCCGATTTGTCAAATCACATGATGAAGCACAGTGATCTCAAAGTTGATGAAGAGGCTAACATTCTTTGTGATCTGACAGTAACTCCAAATTCTTATAAAAATAAGCACCAAAAATAGATGTAGTGACAAATCGGCATTGTGGCAAAAACAATGCAAAATTCATAAAAAAAATAAGTTTTTGAGCATAAAATCATAAAACTACAGAAGTTTTTGCAAAAAGTCAGTATACATGAACATTTTTAAGGCCAATTTAGGGATATTTTCTCAAAAAAAAAAAAAAAAAAGTTAGCATTATCTTGTTCACATTTAGCTAATCATCTTTATTTGTAAAAATAGTCATAATTCAGAACTGCAATAAAGACCCCATTTGCTTCTTCGTTTGTTCAGAAAGTCCTACCTGTTCAGAAAATTTTAGATGACCAGAGCTTGATGAAGCAGCCCAGTCATCTACAAATGGTCCAGTATTTTCAATTTTATTTGTTTAAACATGGTTCTGAAATGGTGACCTAGATTTTTAATCTCATTTCTAGCTTACTTTAATCCTGAGTGCCAGGATCATGATTCCTAAATAAGAAAATATTCAGCCTTCTTATCACTTGAGAATATATTATAATCTTCAAATATACAATACTTAATTTATCACTGCTAAAATATTCAGTTATTACTAATTTAAAATGTCATTAAAACTGTGACAGAAGTTTGACACAAAAGTGAAGTTCTGTACATGAAATACTGGAAGAAATATTCTCAGATTAAGAGATGATGAACCTAGTCTTTTGATCAATGAAATTTGTGCAAATTATGCCACCTGAGAAAGCAGTATAAGCATTTTAAATGATACAATGCCCTATTTTACAGACATTTTATAATGTAAATGATAGTAAATTACACTGATCAAATTTAAGTGAAACAAAGTCTCAAGAAGTCTCGATTTCAGTTGGTAAATGCTAAGAGGGGGGAACCAGAATACCAGAAAAGAGAATTACCTAATGTTTTTAGAGAAAGGGACTCCTCATCTAAAAAACACCACACCTTCCTCACTCCTTTACACTTATTCTGTGAACTCTCCTTCAATTGGGCAGAGCAAAATTAAATTAAACTTTTGTCTATTTTATGTTATGTGTCTATTTGTCTATTTTATGTTAATTTCTATTTTATGTTTTATGAATAAAACGTTCTTTCCAGAAAGCATGTGATCTGCAAAATGATACAGGGATTATGCCTACAATCCTTAACTGTGCATTATCACTTTTAACTTTTTCATGATATTATACCTCCCCAATGTTAAGTTCAACATTTTGTTTTTACCAGACCAGCAATTTCACTCTCTCCTAAAAGATGATCACTCTCATTCTGTCTCATCCACTCACCAACAACATTAACAGTTTTCTCAAAGCTGTGCTTTCTCATTATTAATACTAAACTGGCTAGTCCAGTATTAACAGGCTCGTACCAACAATAGGTGTAAGGTCATGCGGCGCATGGTGGCGCCAAGTGAAAAAGGCGCCAGGCAGTCATTAAAATAAGCAGTTCGTCTCGCTGCCTGTCTGAACAGAAAAATTCTTTTCTTATTTGAACGTCTCTCCGGAGGTCGATTCTGGTACGACCTGGGAAGCTGCTGATTAGGATCTGTACCTAGGCAGTCTCAGCCACGGGTGTTTAAAATCAGTCTCTGCAGGACTGGAATCATCGCTAATGATGACTGTTTCAGGATTGGCAGGGACCATATGGTGTTATCCTCTGTTCCGCTGGAGCTATATATTTATGGCTGTCTAGGGCAAAACACCCCCCGTCGGTGGAGTCGGTGAATTCAGCAAGCCTTTTAAAATGCTTGAGGTTTCCAGTATGCGCCTGCAGCCTGAAAACTACATATTCATATTGTGATGTAATGGGTGACACCAACCAACAAGATGTATAGAGGGTGCTAGCTCTCAATCTGAAGGCGCCAAAAGTTTAGTTTCCAAGAGGGAGACCGACCGAGAGGTCATAGGGAAGGTTCGTGGGAGTCATTAATGAAACCGAAATTAACTTGTATTACTTTATATATTTCAGTTATTAGTATAGTAGTTTAATATTAGTTTTATGTTTGTGCAACTAAATGTTCAGATAACAAGAAGGTGGGGTTATTTATGAGGCGGAGGACGAAGAAAGGGATGATATTATACCCTCTCTCACTCGAACCAGAGCTTTAGATGACGGTAGAGAAACTTACCAGAAGAGAAGCAGATAGGAAGCTTTTGATTTTATTTTACTTAAAGTATAGATGTATTGAAGATATATATATATATATGTATGTATGTATGGTATATATAAATTAAAATGTATAAAAATACTCAGAAAGATGATTTAGTAAACCTTCTTGGTGAAATTTAAGGTACACCAACCGTTGGTTTAACAGTGGTTCAATTAAAAGGTAAAATTGAGGACAGTAAAATATTTAAGATGATACAGAATTTGTAATTGGGTTATTAAACTCAATAGTTGAGGAAAGAAAAATTGGAAAAAATGAAATAAAAGCTAGGATGCACAGTTAAGCTTTAGAAGCTCAAAAGGTTGAACTTGAGAAATTAAAATTAGCGCAGCTAGAGAAAGAATTAGAATTGGGAAAAGTTAGAAGTCAGAACACAGTTAAAGATGGATCTCGTGCAGATAAAGACATGATTGCAGGCTCGAGAAATTATTTGGAAAATTTGATAAAGGGTGTTAAAACATTAACTATTCTTGTTCCGGGAAGATCGGAAAACTTCAATTTGTTTTTTCAAACATTAGAGAGTGAATTCATAACTAAAAATGTACCACAGGATAAGAGAATATCAACCATGGAGGTAAGAAGTAAGATGGAGTCGCCCTAAACAGGTTTCTCCCGTACCCTGCTCTGAAGCACCGGCGATCCCTACATGGTGACCAAAACATTGGGTCATTTACCATTGAGTTCTATGGGATTTGACGCGTTCGGATGTAAATATTTTGTAATTACGTCGTAAATATACATATAATGTATATATTTTTTTCTTTTTCTACAACACTTCAGAGTACCTAAGTATGTGAAACAACATATTTTTAAACAACATTTCATTCTGAACGGAATTAAATGCTATACTTTTCACAGGACAGTTTTCTCAGAATGGTTTAATTTGAATGAAAATTTTCACAAGTTTTCGTTAATTACATTAGAAAAAAAAATTAAGGTAATTCGATTTTATTTTCGGTTAAGGTACAAAAATTAGATCAAAGTTATTGTATTATTAATATTAAAATTATGCATTATTTCTTTTCTATTTATAGAGCTTCTTCCTAAAATACTTTCTTAAATATGACATGATTTTTTGGCTTCTGAAGCATCTTTTAAATCGAAAAATGCAAGTCAATTTATAATTAATGCTCTATTCGGTTCATTTTAAATTAGAGAATTAGGAATTAGCGAAATACTTAAATAAGTATTTCGATATTTCCTAATTAAATAGTATTAGTACTGACTTTCTCTGAACATTTCTGAAAGGGAATAAAATAGTTTTTTTTTTAAGTACTATTTTTAAACTTGTAACTGAGTTATTATAAAATGTAAGGGAATAATTCTTTTATTATACTTATCAGATTTTTTTTTTTTAACCTTCATTTCAACAATACATATTCCAAAACTCTTTATTAATTCTTAAGTGCGCATCTCA